GGAAATCAAGGTGCCAGAGTCTGGAGGAAGACTGGGGAGAAGGAAATGCCAGAAGTCCAGTGTCAAGTACCCACAGTCAGTGATGCTCTGGGGTACCATGTCAGCTGCTGGTGTTGGTCCACTGTGTTTTATCAAGGGCAGGGTCGATGCAGCTACCTATCAGGAGATTTTGGAGCACTTCATGCTTCCATCTGCTGAAAAGCTTTATGGAGGTGAAGATTTCACTTTTCAGTACGACCTGGCACCTTCTCACAGAGCCAAAACCACTAGTAAATGATTTACTGACCATGCTATCACTGTGCTCAATTGGCCTTCCAACTCTCCTGACCTGAACCCCATAGATAATATGTGGGATATTGTGAAGAAAAAGTTGAGAGAAGCAAGACCCAACACTGTGGATGAACTAAAGGCTGCTATCGAAGCATCCTGGGCCTCCATAACACCTCAGCAGTGCCACAGGCTGATTGCCTCCATGGCACGCCGCACTGAAGCAGTTATTTCTGCAAAAGGATTCCCCACCAAGTATTGAGTGCATAACTGTACATAATTATTTAAAGGTTAACCTTTTTTGTATTAAGAACACTTTTCTTTTATTGGTCGGATGGAATATGCTAATTTTGTGGCATAGGAATTTTGGGTTTTCATGAGCTGGATGCCAAATTCATCGGTATTAAGAAAATAAAAGACCTGAAATATTCCAGTTAGTGTGCAATGAATCCAAAATATATGTATGTTCAACTTTTATCATTACATTATGGAAAATAATAACTTTATCACAATCTAATATTTTTGAGAAGGATCTGTAGAATTGGTTTAACATTGTTTTTATATTTTTATGGGGGAACAGAACAAAAGTAATTCCCAAAAATCAGTGCAACAGCCCTTCATTTGATAAGACTCAGAATCAAACAGTCATCTGCAGCTCTTGACACCTCAGTTATAGAGGGGTAACAAACTGATGCTGCCTCAATGTGATTGGAGCTGAAAGTGCAGCACCTTACATTTTTTATTTAAAGGTAAAAAAGATCAAAGAAACCAATGAGTTATGATTGTTGTGCCAGAGTGCATCATAAAATAGTACTACTTAGTGCTGTGTCTTCGGTATAGGGGTCAGGACCAGCTCCAAAGCAGCACTGGCCCCTTCCCTAACAGAATATAAAGTTAGTCTTTATAACCACATATTCATAGAAAAGTTTATATTAACTTATCTCTTTAAACACTGCTAACACAGGGTTCACAAAACTGATCCCTCTTTCAAGCAGAAAAACATTCAGACCTCTGGCTGAAATGTACATGATGGAATCAGAGATGCTGCAAATTTTTCAGCCACACACCCAGAATGGAAAGAAGCATCATTGAAATTAAGAGCCCATTGAAATACAAAAACCTTAAGTGTACATGAGAGCAGCCTGATATAAGCTTGCAGCTAGCTGAGGGTCACAATGCACTGAGTCAAGGCAGGATGCATCCTCTTTAATGTCATATCTATACACACACAAATAACCTAATTGGGGAAGATCACATAAATTCAAATCTCTTTCCAGCTTCTAAACTGTACTGCAGTATCTACTGCCAGTCCATTTGCAAAAAAAAAAAAAAAAAAATCCTTTTTTCTAGACACTTTTCTTCACAAAAACCAGTCAGTACAGTTGGTGACATTTACCATAATTTCCACAAAAATATATTTTTGGCCTCAAATCTAACCTGACAAAAAAAAAAAAAAAAACACGCATGGCTCTAAAACCAAGCCACTTGATCTAAACGAGTTTTCTAAATCGTTCTCAAAGATCAGCAAGCCATCTTTACCTCAAATACCTAAAAACAGAAACGCCAAGATCACTTCAAAACTTAACTTAAAAATGCAGTTTTTACTCGTGTCCTCAAAGATTTTGGTAACATTTCAGCTCGAACCAGCTAGATCTTTTAGTTAAGGAGTTTTATTTCAAGATTTTATTTGAAGGCAACTTTTCCCACTGAATGCTCAACAGACTACTAAACAAGTCACTGGAGCCACAATGAGCCTGACCAGGTGAGAAATGCAAAACTAGCCAACGACCTAAGAATTCTAGCAACTATCAATAGTATCCTTTGTTCAAACTTCTTATTGTTGGACATCAGTAGTTTGATGTACTCAAACTACTAACGTACTCCTGCTTTAGCTGTAGAGGCTCAGCATATGTGTCAACAGCAAAGGCGTTATGCAGTCAAAGTCAAGAAAAACTGACATTTCTCTAGAGGCAACAGCAGCTGGATGATCCATTTTTAGGAAGGTGTTTATCAATTGTTAAGTTTTGCAAAAAATAAAAAATAAAATTCACAGGTGAATTTGATTTTTCCGAATTTCACCATTAACTTGAACAGCATCACGAGCTTATGAATACAATTACGGAAAACAAATTGCATTCTAATCTGTACTAGATAATTTCAATATTCACAGTTCTTCCCCACTTTAGTTGAGAGCTCCATGTTCATTAAGAAAAGTAAGGCCAAAAAGACAAGACAATATTTTCAATCATGTCCCCTATAATCTTTGTCATAAAAAAAAAAAAAACAAACAAACAGAGGAAACCATCAGGTGTGGGACATTTGACTTTTTATTGGTGTATCAAACAGCTGTACATCTATTTGCCTTTCTTGGCCTTGATCTTCCTCAGGTAGAACTCCAGCTCCTTGCCCTCTAGGACATAGCCGTCTGCTCTGCCACACTGGCCCGGTCTGGAGGCAATGCAAGCTGTGGAAAAAACGAGGAGAAACAACCTCAGAGAAGAGTTTCCATAACGTTTAAATCCTTAACATGTTAAATATCTTCAATCATATCTTTAAAATATCCAAATTCCACACAAGCATAATTTGATTTTAAATGTCCTGCCACAAAACACATAACGTGAAAGCTGTAACAGTAAAAAAAAAAAGTAATTTAAAATCAATTATTCACAGATCAGAACAGTCAACTGACATGAAACATCACACAGGCACCATATTTCTGACTTACCAAGCAGTTTTCCCTGCAGGAACTGCTCTTCCAGGAGAGTGCTGATCTTGGCTGTCTTTTTACGCTCATCGTACTTCTTTTGGGTCTTTTTGGACCTCTTCTTGTTCAGGATCTCCTCCTCTTCAGGAGTCTGCCACAGAAATTAAAACCACTCATTGACAAAAAATTACTATGCTCTATACAACTATACATTTAGCTTTTTTGGCTAAGCTAGCAAGTCTTTCTCAGGGACTCTGATGTCACCACTTTCATTCAGTAGCAGAACTGGTCAAAGTTATCATCATGGAAAGACTTGCACCAA